TCAGTCACTGTGCAGCCTGGCCCCCTTGTTTTTTCTTGAACTATGAATGGAGGAGAGAGATACATCTAACTCCTGACATAGAGAGATAAAAAAAATGTTTGTAAGAAAAAAAAAAAAGATAAATAAATAAATATTAAAAAATAAAATAAAAAATAAAGAAAAATGCATAGATCAAGGTTTGAGCTAGCTCAGTTCCAGGCAGGGGCGGACTGACCATTTGGAAACTCGGGCATTGCCGAGGGCCCGGGGTCAGTAGCGGGCCCCATAAGATGCCCCTGGTACCTTTTTCATTGGCTTTTTTGAGTTTGGGCACAGGGGCCCCATGATCCCCAATTGCCCTGGGGCCCCATGAGTTGTCAGTCCACCCCTGGTACCAAGGTTACTGTTTGGGTCAAGGTCAGGGTCAAAGGTCGGGATTTTAAAAAACATTGGTATCAGTGTCAGCGTTAATGTCAGTGTGTTTTAGGTAAAAAAAAAAAAAAAAGACAAAAAACAAAATGCGCACTATTGTTTCTGGGCTGTACTACGGATACAAACAACAATTAACATACACATATATGGTATCGTTGCAATCGTCAAGAGCTGGAGAATTTATTTTGGGTTGTTCTATGGAGGTAGGTTATGGTCGTAACAAGAAACACACAGCTAAATTTAAAAAAAAAAAATTTTTTTTTACTATTTTGGGCCAGTTTTCCTTTGATAATAAAAAAAAATCAGGAGATATCCATTACCATTTACCACCAAATGAAAGCCCAATTTGTCCTGAAAAAAACGCGGTATAATTCACCTGGATGTACAAAGTATTTGTGATGATATGTACGGTTTTACTAACACATGTCAACGTTGCAGAATTGTGCTTAGGCATTTAATTTGTTTTACCCTTAGGCGTGAAGGGGTTAAATGGAGGAGGTGGCAACCCTACACTCACTTCAGCCACTGCTCAGGACAGACAGACTTCCTAAAGGGGTCAGTGGTAGAGCTGGGTTGTGTATTGAGCATGGTCTCTGCCAGGGACGGACTGACAACTCATGGGGCCCCCGGGCAATAGGGGATCATGGGGCCCCTGTGTCCTTGCCCAAACTCAAAAAAGCCTATGAAAAAGGTACCAGGGGCATCTCATGGTGCCCCCTACTGACCCTGGGCCCTTGGGCAGTGCCCGAGTTTTCAAATGGTCAGTCCGCCCCTGGTCTCTGCCAAAGTGCAGGTGAGAGAGTGAAAACACAGAGAGCTTTTGGTACAGGGAGCATGATGTGGGCATCGTTCAGTGCACAGTTAAGGACTACCCACCACCATTGGTGTGGGAGAAGGAACTGGCCTGAAGACCCTTTGGCATGTATATTTATATTTATTTTTATTTAAAGTGTGTGTTCCCTCAAATTTGCATGTCCTACAGCAACATGTATAGACCATTTAAGACCTGAGCAGACAGTTCAAATCCACAAACAGAAAGATACAAAAGTAAACGTGGATTTTCTTAATGCCGTGAGGCTGGGTCAGTGAAAGCATGTCTGCACCGGAGGTCAGTCTCTCTGGCAGAAGTGTTAAAGTAAGGTGTTTGTGCATGAATAAAATTAAGCCACAAGTACGGTTCTCATTTTTGACGGCAGATATATAATAGGAAAAACCCAGCAGGACCAGAAAGAAAGAAACCCCAGAAGAGGCCTTTTTCATCAAATCTGTCTTGGTTTAACAGCTCGGACAAGAAGCAGCAAAAAGGGGGCAAAGCGGCAGAAGTAATCCTATCATCTCTTCCCCAGCCGATGCTGCACCCCGGCCAAGACGTCCTCACGCTGCTAACATGAATTCAAATCATCTGTGTTTAGAGCTAAAGCCGGTGATTGACAGATACTTATAGGCTCGTCCTAGATTGAATATTATTCTAGATACCTATCGCTTATTACAATAAGCTCGGTGTGATATTTAATCCCTACAGTGAAAATTGGGTTTAACGGAGCAAAGTTTCATCTGTTTTGAGCGCTACTCTAAAATAAAGAACTAACCATTACTAGGTGAATTAAATCTGCAGTTTTATTTGCCTGTAACAGCACATAATTGTTTTTAAAATAGAGTTGTTGACTTGTGCGTCTATGAACAGGAACCGATAAAATATTTTAAGCAGTTTTTTTTTTTAGTTGTTTTTTTTTATTCATTGGGCTTCTATTGTGATGGTTTTAGATTGTGGATGGAAAGGCACAGTTTGCTATGAGAAGTAGAAGAATTTAGCTCTTTTGCTGTTAAGGTATTTAGAAAATGTTTACATCTATTCTTAAAAATAAAAGCTGAAGTAGGCAAGGGCCTGAACGTGCTGAAATTTTACAGCTTCTGGACAGGGACTAAAATACAGAGCTGACCAATTATGTGTTCCAGCTCATGTGCAGGGGCGGACTGACCATTTGGAAACTCGGGCACTGCCCGAGGGCCCAGGGTCAGAAGGGGGCCCCATGACATGCCCCTGGTACCTTTTTCATACGCTTTTTTGAGTTTGGGCAAGGACACAGGGGCCCCATGATCCCCTATTGCCCGGGGCCCAATGAGTTGTCAGTCCGCCCCTGCTCATGTGTACATACCAAGTCCATCATGTGATCAGGCCCAGTGCAACAATGTACTGAACAGGGGCGGACTGACAACTCATGGGGCCCCCCGGGCAATAGGGGATCATGGGGCCCCTGTGTCCTTGCCCACACTCAAAGCACACCCAAAAAAAAAGCCTATAAAAGTGCCAGGGGCATTTCATGGGGCCCCCTACTGACCCCGGGCCCTCGGGAAGTGCCCGAGTGCTCAAATGGTCAGTCCGCCCCTGGTACTGAAAAAAATGTCCTTTCCTGCTGCATCATTGGACTGGAGAGGGATGGGGGGGGGGGGGGGTCCTTGTCCCATAACTCAGTCTCCTAAATGTTATTTTATTATTATCCATAAGTTGCTGTTTCATCACAGAGTTTGGATGGTTTGCTGTTATGACATTGGACTCATGTTCATTGACACACTCATTTCCAATGTACTAGGTTTCCCTCTGGGATCCGACTGGGCTTACTGAGCAGTCCAACCGCGACTTTATGGTTTCTGTGTATGCCATTAACACTGCATGAGCAGTGCGGTCTAAAAATTTGCTCAGTTGTTATGCTGTGTTTTTTACTTGCAAAAAAAGGTCAAATAAAAACAATTGAAACAGAAAAATTTTCCTTTCCTGATGCTAAAGCATGGCAGCATACACATGGTTATGACTCCATCCCCTACTTGCTCATGGGACCGGTTCAAAATAAAAGCCCCTCAGCAAGGCTAATATTCTTGTATCTACATCAAAACAAGGTAAAAGCGAACGCTATAGGTCAAAAGAGCAGCCAATGCACCAAAGGATACCAAACAACCTTTCAGAACATAAATGTATAAGGGGCGCGGCGCTCAAGCAATGATCAACACAATAAAATGTAATAAAATATAGGTAAGAACTAAATAAAATCCATAAAGTGACTTGTGACAAAGTGCCAACATATAAAGTGACTTCAGTGATATCATATATTCCGTCACTGTAAAGGTTCTTATTATCTCTACGCTCAATACAACAGCCCAGGGAGGGTATGCTGCCATGTTTTAGAGCCAGAAAAGGAAAATTACAGATATACATTCACCAGCCACCAGGTACACCTTGCTTAGTGCCAAGAAAATCTCCCCCACACCATTACACCACCACCAGCAGCCTGAACCGTTGGTACAAGACAGGATGGATCCATGCTTTCATGTTGTTTACGCCAAATTCTGACCCTACCATCTGAATGTCATAGCAATCAGTCTGCCCATCTCCTTTGACATCAATGAGGCATTTTTGTCCACACAACTGCTGCTCATCGTTTTTTTCGCTTTTTCGGACCATTCTCTGTAAACCCTAGAGATGGTTGTGCATGAAAATCCCTGTAGATCAGCAGTTTTTGAAATACTTAACCAGCATGTCTGGCACCGACAATTATGCCACGTTCAAAGTCACCTACATCCCCTTTCTTCCCCATTCTGATGCTTGGTTTGACTTCAGTAAGTCATCTTCACCACATCTAGATGCCTAATGCACTGAGTTGCTGCCATGTGATTGGCTGATTAGCAACTTGTGTTGTCAAGAAATTGAACAGGTGTACCTAAAAAGTGGCCTACGAGTGTATAATCCTTTCTCGTTTCTTGACACAAGCATGTCAACATACACATGAGACAAACATGGCAAACAAGGGAGGGTATTGCTAAGGTAATTACTTATTTGGACAAACCGCTGGATTCGTTTAAAACGGAATGCCCAAACTCCACTGTGCTCAGTGCTGGTTCTATTCTGTAATGGGTAAGGAACGTGCCATATGTGGGCGAGGTTGTTGCTCAGCAGACTAATTCTGGAGACACACCTATACAGTCTGCCCATGAAAATGAAACCCCTATGGTACAGTGGGCCTTGACATTGATTGGTGGATCAACCTTCTTTTCCTACTCCTCCAGCTTGGACCAATGGAAGTATGCATATCTTATATACCTGATGGGCTGCTGAGAAAGCCGGCAAACACTATGGTAGTCAGTGTTACTACAGTGTAAGCCACAATGTCCCAGGAACTGCCGCCATTCAAAAACACCTTGTATTTTTTTCAATAAATACAAGGCATTCTTGGATTAGATGAGGTAGAGAGGAGGGGTGGAGACATTTCAATCTCCACCCAATCAAAGAAAGCTTGTAATTATTGCAACAAATACAAGGCATTGTGTAAATCTTACAAGTGTCACATGAGTGACCTCCTCTGGTCAGTGTGCAGAGGGGAACCCTCTTGGCACTGGACCCAAGTAAGTCCCAGAAGATAGTGGCCATCACAGTATTAACACCAACTACTACAGTGATTGTTAGCTTCTCCACCGGACCCACAAGTATAAGATATACTGTACATACTCTATATTTCCAAAAGTATTGGGGCACAACTCCAAATCATTGGATTCAGGTGTTCCAATCATCTCCATAACCACAGGTGTATAAAAACAAGCACCTAGGCATGCAGACTGCTTCTACAAACAGAATGGGTCGCTCTCAGGAGCTCAGTAAATTCAAGCGTGGTAATGTGATAGGTTGCCACCTGTGTAATAAGTTTATCTGTGAAATTTCCTGGCTACTAAATATTTCACAGTCAACTGTTAGTGGTATTATAACAAAGTGGAAGCAACTGGGAACAACAGCAACTCAACCACGAAGTGGTAGGCCACTTAAAATGACAGAGAGGGGTCAGCGCATGATGAAGTGCACAGAATTCACCAACTGTCTGCAGAGTCAATAGCTAAAGACCTCCAAACTTCATGTGGCCTTCAGATTAGCACACCGTAGAAAGCTTCAAGGAATGGGTTTCCATGGCCGAGTAGCTGCATCCAAGCCTTACATCATCAAGTGCAATTGAAAGCTTCTCTGGAGTGACAAATCAGGCTTCTTTGTCTGGCAATCCGATAGACATGTCTGGGTTTGACGGTTGCCAAGAGAACGGTACTTGCCTGACTGTATTGTGCCAAGTGTAAAGTTTGGTGGAGGGGGGACTATGGTGTGGGGTTGTTGTTCAGGAGTTGGGCTTGGCCCCTTAGTTCCAGTTAAGGGAACTCTTAAGGCATCAGCATACCGAGACATTTTGGACAATTTCAGGCTCCCAACTTTGTGGGAACAGTTTGGGGATGACCCCTTCCAGTTCCAACATGACTGCACACCAGTGCACAAAGCAAGGTCCATAAACACACAGACTGTATGTTAACTCACTCTGCACTCTTACAATCCCAGCCATATTATATGTCCATATTAGAACACGTGTCCACTCATACTGAGTGTAGCAATCAAGCAGAACCATTTCTAATTGTTACAGGTTAACACATGTTCTGTATGTTCTCTATCTTTCCCCTCCCACTCTTGGTTCCCAGTTATAGGGTAGGTCTTGTTTTTTGTTTGTTTTTTTGTGTCAGACCTTGTATGTACAGTATGTGGGTGCAGCCATATTTTGAATAAACCACACACAATTGCCCTAATTTTCATAGATGTTCTTTTTTCAGGCTTAGTGTTGTATGAGTGTGAGTGTACCCCACTATGTCAGTCAATTAAGTATGACTGCATACATATAAATATAATCATTCAATTGATCATTCAAGAACTGTTGTAAATGGAAGAACCGGGTTATCTTGTTCCTCCCTGGAAAGGATCTGGAGCTATCTGGACCATAGCAATTTCCATTGGATGTGGGCATGCTGAAGGGCTTGAATAGTTGAAGCCAGCTTGTCAGAGCAAAATCTTGTTAGTGAAAACACCTCCTCAACTTGGACTGCTAGTTGAGGGAAAGGGTGGCAGTGTCATCTGTACCAGTAGCGATCTCCGCTGGCTCTGGAGCTTGCTTTGCCCAATTGGGAACTAGGAACAACAGCAACTCAGCCACGAAGTGGTAGGCCATGTAAAATGACTGAGAGAGGTCAGCGCATGCTGAAGAGTACAGTGCTCAGAAGTCCCCAACTGTCTGCAAAGTCAATAGCTTAAGACCTCCAAACTTAATGTGGTCTTCAGATTAGCACTACAGTGCGTAGAGAGCTTCATGGAATGGGATTCCATGGCTGAGAAAATGCATCCAAACCATACATCGGCAGGTGCAATGCAAAGCATCAAATGCAGTGGTATAAGGCACACCGCCACTGGACTCTAGAGCAGTGGAGATGTGTTCTCTGGAGTGATGAATCATGCTTCTCTATCTGTCAATACGGTGGACGTGTCTGGGTTTGGTGGTTGCCAGGAGAATAGTACCTGCCTGACTTAATTGTGCTACGTGTAAGGTTTGGTGGAGGGGGGGGGGATTATGGTGTGGGGCCGTTTTTCAGGGGTTGGGCTTGGCTTAGTTCCAGTGAGGGGAACTCTTAAGGCATCAGCATAACAAGACATTTTGGACAATTTCAGACTCTCAACTATGTGGGAAGAGTTTGGGGATGGGCCCCTTCCTGTTTCAACATGACTGCGTACCAGTGCACAAAGCAAGGTCTGTAAAGACATGGATGAGCGAGTTTGGGGTGGAGGAACTTGACTGGCCTGCACAGAGTCCTGACCTCAACTCGATAAAACACCTTTGGGATGAATTAAAGCGGAGACTGTGAGCCAGGCCTTCTCATCCAACATCAGTGCCTGACCTCACAAATGTGCTTCTGGAAGAATGGTCAAACATTCCCATAGACACCCTCCTAAACCCTTCCCTGGACCCTGGACAGGCTTCCCACAAGAGTTGAAGCTGCTATAGCTGCAAAGGGTGGGCCAACTCAATATTGAACCCTACGGACTAAGAGTGGTATGCCATTAAAATTCATGTGCGTGTAAAGGCAGGCGGCCCAATACTTTTGACAATATAGTGTACATTAAAGTGGTTGTAAACCCTTTCATATACCCAGTGAAGTGACTGGCCTAAAGTGATACAGAGATAAAACATATCCTTCTATATACGTATATGTACTTGTTTATCGGCAGCACTTTCTTCTCTACAGCCTTCCAAAACACACATTTTACACAGCATCTCTCGGCAGCGGAAGACAGGGAGCAGGGATCTGAGATCACACAGCCTGCAGAGCTAGAGTACAGAGCTCAATGAAATCTGAGAGCTGATTGGATGTAATGGACACACCCCTCTAACAGGCTCATAGAGCAGAATCTATGAGTCGCCTGCTGTGTGCTGGCAGGGGGGAGGGGGGCATCTCCTGGGAGGCTGAGTTGTTGGCTTAGAGTTCTATCACTGACTCATGTAGATAGCAGAGGAATAAGAGAAGAACTTGGTAATTTAGATTCAGGTTAGTATACACTATACAGGGATGTACTTTTTTCACTCCTCATGTCTGAGGTTTACATTTTAAATATACAGGTAATGATTTACCTGCATTGATTCTTGCTTTTTATCTCTGCCTGGTTTTTAGCTTTAAAAGGTACCCTTAGACTAGTAGCTGCCAAAATGTTTCTAGGATACTGTATATTGTGTGCTCTTTCCAACTTAAAAGTAGTGTCTGAGCACCGCAAACTGAAAAACGTGATTTAATTCCTTTTTGATATTCAAAGCAAACTCACCCAACCATCCATGCCTCCATGGTTTATTATGTCGACCCCCTAGTATTTTTTAACTGCGGTCATCTTGAGTAAGGGCAGTTGATTCATGTAGCATTTAATTCTGGGAATCTATCTGCCCTTAGATCAGACATGAAGGCATGAGGGTGTGCTTAGCTGAGAAAGTCCCTCCTCCCTCCTCCAGATGAAAGAAAACAAAAATGCCAATGAAGAATCCAGGGATGTATGAGATCATTTTGGCATAGGCCAGAAGCCAGGAAGCACCCTAAAAATGTAAAAAAAATGAAGGTTCAAAACAAGTAAAAATAATATACTTATATCTATTTAATAAAGCTAGCAGTATAAGGATTAAAAATAGTTAATTCTGATACTTATCAGATCTTGGCGCGATAATGATCACCTGCAACTGCACAGAGTGAAACAGCGTCCCCCCTGTTGAGATCATCTTGCTGTTCAAGGAGGCAGCCACGTAACCAGAGTGGGTTTGCTTGCCTACCAGACATTCAGTCGGGGGCCACACTGGTACCTTAGGAAAAATGCAATTTATGACTTCACTTGAATAATTCAACTCCTTTCTGATGTAAATAGAACTGCTAATGTGTAGGTTTGTGACTATTGCACTTAAACATATTAGCATTCTTTCAGAACTTTAGAACATTTTTAAACATTGTGGCAAATAGTTCTTTATTCTTTAGCTCTGTTATTCAAATTGTGAGAGGAAGTCTTTCATAATTGTTTTTCATTTAATCTAGCGGCTCAGCATGAGTGCGATTTATATTTGGGCAGCGGGAGAGAAGAAATACAACGTCTGCATTGACTTCTTCCACGTTTTCTCTTTCTTTTCTTCTTTTCATTCTTCTTCTGTGTAATTCAAGTGTTTTATTTAAACGGTAAATGCACTTTATGTATATAAATTATAGCAGTGTTCTTAGGTTTTGTCTTTTAGGTTCTTGTTCTTTCGGGCCACAATGCCACATTTCATCCCATTTTAAAAGCAAATGTCATACTGAAATCTGGATTACATGTGACTTCAAACTGTAGAAAGAATTCAAATATATTTCTATTAAATATGATTGCTCATAGAAGGAACATATTAAAGAATTAAATTTGAAATGTTAAACAAATAAAAATTATGGACATGAGTTACCAAAGGTTGGAAATGATTTAAAGCTAAGCCTCTTAGCCAAAAGATTTGTCAATTGTTCAGCTGGTCTTGTAATCGAAGCAACCAGACAGCACAGCCAGGACCAGGGGCGGACTGACCATTTGGAAACTCGGGCACTGCTGGAGGGCCCAGGGTCAGTGGGGGGCCCCATGAGATGCCCCTGGTACCTTTTTCATAGGCTTTTTTGAGTTTGGGCAAGGACACAGGGGCCCCATGATCCCCTATTGCCTGGGGGTCCCATGAGTTACCAGTCCGCCCCTGGCCAGGACCTTTCGGAGGCCTGTCCCCTTCTCCGTGCCTGTGAGTGGACAATAAAGGGGCAACAGCACACTGGTGAGATCAACACTCTGCTCTTTTCTCTTGTCCAGAATGGTGTATGAGATGGACAGCACCCTGACAAAGCAAAGGGACAGCAGTTGGGGCAATCTAATGCACTGCCACTTGTGCTTTATTCTTCTTAGGAGGGTGTGAATAAAGGAGATAAGCAAATCATGTCCATTTTGCTCCAGGCTTGGGATCACCAGTAAGTGAAGGTTTGCATCAGCAATGAACAAGATTCACTCAGTGAACAGGTAAAGTGTTCCTGTGGGCAACTTATAAATTTTCTTCCTGAGCAGAGTATACCAATGGACAATCTCAAAGAAACAAATCTGTTCCAAAGATACACTGCCATAAACCTGGCTGGACAAAAATAGAGATCCTGCATTTAAATCTGTAGGAGGTTATGGGTCAGTAATCCCCGCCCACTGTGAAATCATTGACCCAAAAAGGATCTAGTATAAGAGAAATATTTGGCGCACTAAGAAGAAAAGAAAAACAGATTTATACTGTGATGACTAGTATATTAACCACACAGGTAAAGTTCTTAAAGTCCAAAGGTGGTTAAGGGTTATTCCAACAATGCTTGACTCAGTGGCTGCCGATTCACAAAGAGCTAGAAGAGACTCTGTGTGAACCATAAAAGAGAAGCAGCGCCATCTAAGTGCAGCAATATAAGCAAATAATTTATTCCACAAAATTGGCAACTCACAATAGTAATAGTCAAATGAATGCTTGTCAAACTGACATCAACAACTGCAACTTCTGGCTGGTCCCGCTGCAGGCAAGTCTCCAAAGCACTGTCCTTGGCTGTACTGGTGGTTCCCAGTACTTCCTGGTCCGTGTGAATCCTCAGGTCAGGCGGGAGTGATGTCAGCTCCAGGTAAAGCAGCAGTAGTCGTGGCATGTGGTTGGAACATACATGCTCCTTCATTAGGCCATCTGAGGGGCGGAGCGAAACACATTGGGGGCCTGGCCTGGTGGAAGCCCAGGCTGAGACTGCCATTTATTTCACCACAGGGGGTCTGTTTTGATGTGTAGCTTGGAGCTTTGACAAGATCCCTCCCTGGCCGGCACTCACAGTGGTGGGCATAGGATCAGCATTCCACACATCTCTTCTCTATTGGTTCATAGTCTAACAGGGGGACTACATGAGCCTAATTGGTCTGTGTAAAAGGGGTACATATTGGCCTGATGAAGGAGCATGCATGTTCCAAACGCTTGGCATGCCTACTGCTGCTGTACCTGGAGCTGACATCACTCCCACCTGCCCTGAGGATCCACACCGACCAGGAAGTACTGGGAACCACCAGTACAGCCAAGGACAGTGCTTTGGAGACTTGCCTACAGCGGGACCAGCCAGGAGATGCACAGCGGTTGACACTAGTTTGACAAGCGCTCATTTGACTATTACTATTGTGAGTTGCCAATTTTGTGGAATATATTATTTGCTTATATTGCTGCATTTAGATGGCGCTACTTCTCCCTCCTTTAACCAGTTGCCGACCGCAGATAGCCGAATGACGGCTTCACTGCGGCTGGCCAGTTCTGGGTGGACGTCATATGACGTCCCCCCAGAACGCGCTCTCCTGCGCGCCCCAGGGGGCGCGCACCCGGCGATCTCCGTGATCGCTGTGTCCTACGGACACAGCTGATCACGAGATGTGGTAAAAGGCCAATCATACCGGCCTTTTACCACGTGATCAGCGGTGTCCAATGACACGCTGATCACAGGGAAATGCAAGTGCTGGTTCTCGGCTGCACTTTCCTCACGCTGTCAGATCGTGAGGAAAGTACTGCCGAGAACTGGCAGTTGTCACAGCGGGGATCGGCACCGATCATCAGGACACTGATGATCAGTGCCCTGATGATCGGTGCCCAGCAGTGCCACCCGCAAGTTCCGCCCACCTGTGCCCAGCAGTGCGCCCACTAGCTCCGCCCACCTGTGCCCAGCAGTGCACCCACCTGTGCCCAGCAGTGCACCCACCTGTGCCACTCTGCAGTGTCACACACCTGTGCCCAGAAGTGCCACCTACCTGTGCCCAGAAGTGACACCCACCTGTGCCCACCCACCTGTGCCCACCTGTGCCCACCCACCTGTGCCCACCCACCTGTGCCCACCCACCAGTGCTGCCCACCAGTGCCACCCACCAGTGCCACCCACCAGTGCTGCCAGTCAGTGCCACCAGTCAGTGCCCAGGGGTTGTGCCAGTCAGTGCCGCCAGTCAGTGCCCAGCAGTGATGCCAGTCAGTGCCGTCTATCAGTACCCATCATCAGTGTCACCTATCAGTGCCGCCTATCAGTGCTGCCTATCCGTGACACCTCATTAGTGCTGTC